AAGGTATATCAATGAGGGACGCGATATTGAGAGGCAATGGGGTATGCAGTGAAGATCATGGGTGGCGTGGTGGGAAGGGGGAGTGATGAGTTAGAAGAAATTATTCAGTAGGTTCGGTATACCACATGGGGACAGATTCAGAATTTTCATATAAGCGGAGTGAAAATAGAAAAATGGTTAAGAGCTCTAAACTTAGAGCTCTAACGTGTGTATAGGTCCCACATGATGTAATGTTTTGGTCTTGTGTGTGTGTGTTTGTGTTTGTGTTTTTTTTTTCCAGCTCACTAGAACTAATTTAGAGTTGAAAATTTAGGGAGATGTATCATTGTTGGTGAAAATATATATACTAACAAAAATTTTAAATAAAAATATAGATTGCAATATCAATTTTCTACCAACATAAAAAATCGAAAATAAGATGAAACACATACAAATAAGTTATTACCCAGAAAGCAACCCAAGAGGGGGTGAATTGAGTTTCTAAATAAATTGCTAAATTAAAAAATATTCCCAAATAATAAACAATTAACAACATGAAATAGTAAAGATGAGAAATAAATTAAAATTTAATCCAAATGAAAAATAAATATGAAGCAATATAAATGAGACTAATAAAAATAAATTAAGAAATTACACCCATACCTTTACAGGTGCTAGTGAACCTTAATAATTGATCAACTCCGATCACTCCAACCAACTAGTTGTCAATATGGTGCTAGTCACACCTAACCCAAGTGATTTTATCTAGAAAAATCACTCACAAAAAATATAACTCTCTTTTATAAGAAAAATGATAAGGGATTGGAAACCCTTTTATAATAAAAGCTCAAACACTCAACAAATTTCTCTCAAAGAAATTATATAGCTCAATGAAAATGCACAACACAATGTTTTAAGAATTCTTGAATATCACCCACAATTTTTCACCACTTATATGTCTTTTTTTTTCTCCACAAAACTTCTTTTATAGCCATAGAAAAAACTAGCCATTGCAAAAGAGATTCTAGGTAGGCTCCTCTTTCCTTCTATTTTTCTTCCATTTGAATTTATTAGCCTCTTGGACTTCACTACAAGAAAAGTGGACTTATGAGACGGAACTTTTTGCGATGGCAAATGTGCCGTCGCAAAAAATGACTTTTTGCGACGGCACAACTTGCCTTCTAAAAAAATGTGACTTTTTTAGACAGCACAACTTGCCGTCGCCAAAAAATGTGACTTTTTGAGACGGCACAACTTGCCGTCGCAAAAAATAGAGTATTTGCGACGGCAGAAATTGCTGTCGCAAAAAAAAAAAAGAGTATTTGCGACGGTACCAGCTACAGTCGTAAAAAAAAAAAGGAGTTTTTTGCGATTGTAATATGTACCGTTGCAAAAATAAAAAATAAAATAAAATAAATATATATATATATATTGTGGCTTTAAGACGGCTTCATATATATATAGTCATAAAATGGTTTAAATAAATGCAACGGTATTTTTCTGTTACAAAAAAAATATATAAAAAAATAAAAACGACGTCGTCGTACTCTTTTGAACATTGCTCTTTTTACCCATTTTTTCATCTTTCTATCTCTCTGTCTCTGTCTCTCTTCTCTTTCTCTCTCTCACTTATAACTCTTCTCTGTCTGTCTGTCTATCTCTTTCTCTATGTATCTCTGTCTCTGTCTCTCTTGTCTCTCTCTCTCTCACTCATCACTCTTCTTTGTCTGTCTGTCTCTTTCTTTCTCTCTATGTCTCTGTCTCTCTTCTCTTTCTCTCTCTTACTTATCACTCATCACTCTTCTTTGTCTGTCTGTCTGTCTGTCTCTCTCTCTCTCTCTTTCTCTCTGTGTCTTTCGTCCATCTTTCTTCTCTTTATCTCTCTCATCTCTCTTCTCTCTCTGTCTCTCTTCTCTTTATCTCTCTCGCTTTCTCGCTTATCTCTCTCTGTCTCTCTCTTGTTTATCTCTTTTCGCTCTTTTTTTTTCTCTCTCTCTCTTTTTATCCATTTTTTCATCTTCCTTTCTCTCTTCTCTTTCTCTCTCTCACTCATCACTCTTCTCTCTCTCTCTGTCTGTCTATTTGTCTCTCACTCATCTATTTCTTCTCTCATCTATTTTCTCATCTCTTTTCTCTCTCTGTCTCTTTCGCTCATCTCTCTTCTCTTTATCTCTCTCACTCATCTCTCATCTCTCTATCTCTCTCGTACTTTTAGTGACCACTTTGTCCCTTTCTCGCTCATCACTTTGTCTTTCTCTCTCTCTCTCTCCTCTATCTGTCTCTCACTCATTTGTCTCTCTCACCACCCATCTCCTCTACCACCTTCACCACTACTACAAACGCCATTCCACCACCACCACTACTTCCACTATCGTCACTTCACCTCTACGACTACTATTACTACTACCATCACCACCACTCCACTACCACCACTACCACTACTGCCACTACTACTATCATTAACTCTCTTTCACCCCTACCACTCCATTTACACTATAACTATCACAACTTCACCACTAATCTCTTTCGCCATCACCATCACCATCACCATCACCATCATCTCTTATCCACAACCTTCACCACTACTACCGCTCCATTTCCTCTACCACAAAAAATTAGTTCATGATTTTTAGTAACAAAAAAAAATAGGCCGCAGAAAAATGTTTTTCATTGACTATAAAAAATTAACTTTTATTTTAATGGAAAATATTTTTCATTAAAATATTACCCTTACTTCTACCAAATAAAAAATAATAATTTTTTTTAATTAAAATAAAAATGAAACAAATAAATTTTCAATCTTAGTAAGTAAAGAAAAAAAGAGAAATTTTTTTTAAAAAATTCATTAACTACAAAAAAATATATATTTTAACAAAAAACTAAAATTTTTTGACGATGGAAACCCCCGTCACAAAAAAAAAAGAAAAAGAAAAAAGAATTAAAGGACATTATTTTGTTATTTACATTTTTTTTGTGACTAAAAAAAATATATATTTATTTTTTATTCCCGCCCCTTTTTTTTCCCATTCCCGCTCCCTTCTCCCCCCTTTTTTTCCCATTCCCCCTCCCCGAACAAAAAATCCCCAATCTCTTCTTACCCCCCCTCTCTCTCTCGCGATCGACGGCGAGCGGCGTCAGAGCAGCCCTGTTGTGAGGCCGACTCGTCACTCAATTGTTTGCGAGGCTGCTCCGAATAAGAAGGCCGATTCGGCTGCGAAGAGAGCTCGTCAAGCAGAGAAGATGCGTGTCTACAACAAAGCTTGGAAATCCGAGGTCAAGACTCGAATGACGAAGGTATTTTATTTGTGGGTTTGCTTGTTTCTTAATTGTAGACTAAAGTGGTATTTGATTATGTTGAGTTTTACAGGGTTATTTCAGCTTTGAATTCATGTTTAGGCTTCTTGATGATAATGTATTGAATTTCCTTTTGTGTGTGTGTGTGTGTGTGTGTGTGTGTGTGTGTCTGTGTGTGTGTGTTGGGGGAGCGCTTGGGGAAGTAGATTATTGGGGGTTTTGGCTCATTTGCTTTATGCAATTAGAGTGATTGAATGATTGTGCATTTGTTATAATGATGAATTGTAGTTTTGGTGGCTTTCCTTTTGCTAAAACTTGGATCTTGAACTTGTTATAAGGGGAAGGAAAAGTAAGGGGAAAAGAAAGGAAAAGGAAATGAAATGAGAGAAGCTAATTTCTTACTTTTGTTTGGTTGGCTTAGAAAATTACAAGAAATTGAATAAGCATTTGTTTGAAAATCCTTTTTTTATTTTTTTTTATTTTTAAATTTTATTGCTCGATTAGCTCAGATCCCCTTCTTACATTGCTCGATTAGCTCAGATCTAGCTCTGTTTTTCACTTTCCATACCTTTTTTTTTTTTTTTTTTTTTAAATTTATGCTCTCTCTCAGTGTTCGTTTCAATGTTGCTTTTATGTTGTTATATGGTTTTGGACAAGGGTGTTTCGCTGCCCTTTTGCTTCAATGTCTTGCTTTATCTTTGAAACTGTGATGATATTTTGGTGTTGCCAGGATTTAGTTTAATTAGCTTTGAAGAGCAGATTTCTTTATCCATTAGTGTTGTTGTTGTTCCTATGTTAGCATTTTAGCCAAATCTGCTAATGCATGAACATCTTTATTGTATTTAGAAGTGTGTAGTTAATTGATTAGACAGTGGCATTTTATAACTTATGGGATTGAACTCTATATCTTACAGAATGGATAATTCAATATTTAGTTGGAAAAATGAAAGTCGAACTAATAATTCGGTCGAGCTAATAATCTTTCATATTTATCAAATGGATTTAATTGATTTTTACTTAATGCATTTAATTTTTAGTATTGAATTAGGTTATAAAATATTACCTCAGTTGACATTTGACTCTAGGAATGGAATTAAATGAATAAGAATGAAAATTAGAGTTTTTAATAATAAAAAAATTAAAGCTTAGGTTAATTAGATTTCACTTAACATTTTAAAATTTAAGTCATGACAACTTGTGAGCACCTGAATTGAATTGAAGAGTTACCACACTCCATCTATACCTTCTGTACGGGGAGGAAATAATTCTCCTCGTATAATCCTGTTGACCAAGTCCACGCTTCTCCGTACGACGTCGCTTTATCACCTGAAAACACAAACGTGAGCTAGCCGGCGGGTGTGTGCCGGAAACCTCTCCGATGCCTAAGTCAGAAAACTTGACAAATAGACAAAGCTCTAAGTTCTCAGAAAGATTGTGTTCAATTACCTCCTCCAAGGTGATGCTTGTGAGCTTTTATAAGTTTCATATGGCACAATCCTAGTAGGACTTGTATTTCTCCATGAAAAGTTTAGGAAGGGTGCTTGTGAAAAGTAAGTGAAAGTTGCTTTCTTTCTCTTTCTTTCTATGTATGGTACATGCATGTGTTCTCTATTCTTTTCATTAATTTTCGCAATGGCTAGTCATTGACACGAAGATGTAATCAATATAGATTTTAGTTGTAGAAGAGTTTCATGTAATCTGCTTGTTTCAGTACCAAGGTTTAAACTATGGAGGTTCTACCCTGCCTTATGGATGAGAACTCTGCCTTAGGGAGGGAAGAAGAGGTATTGGTGGGATGGGGATAGTGTGGCTGGGGTTGGTTGTGGTTAAGTCTTAGCGTATCATTTTGTTTAATACATTGAAAATTTTAACATGCACGGGTGACAATTTAGAAGTAAAAACTATAGAGCTAAGTTCTTAAAAGATATTTGTGTTTCTCAGGAGCTCTGTACGACTTTCGAGTTGTACAACGCCAGAAAGTTTTTAATTTTTCTTATTCACACACACGTCATATTGAATTTTTCTATTGTTGACCTTCGAGTCGTACACCCCCATAAACCCTTAATTTATCTTATTTTCACACATCATATTGAGTTTTCTTATTGTTTTTTAGTACCCATCATGTTCTGTTAGCATCCTAAACAGAATAAATTATTATTTTTCAACATGGTATTAGATTCCAACACATGGATATATAATCATGAATATATATATTGTATTTGTGTGTATATTCTTCTCATTTGTTTTTGTTCTCTCTAATAAACCAGCCTGGATTTCAATAGATTACCCATAATTCTATTATGCAACTGTTTTGGTTCAAAGCTGAATATTGTTTTTCAATTTAAAGATTGACATAAGAAGAACAAGAAGAATCAAAACCCAATAATTTTTACCTCGAAACGTATCCCAAAAGTGAAGGAGTATAATGTAAATTTAAATTTGTGTAACATGAACTACATCTAAAATGATGTATTCCGCACATTTTCTAAGTAATTTTCAGAATAATTTTTCTAGGTACGCATTGTTGTTGAATTTTAAATGTGTTGGATCTATCTCTCAGGAATTAATGGAGGCATGGAACCACCTGAGGAACCACCTGCTGTCAATTTTGCATTTGTCAGTTTAAGTTCATATGTTGCATTTTTAATTCTAGTATCTACATGTAATTTCTTTTTTTGAGGAACTATTAATTTATGTGCTATGTAGGTGTGCAATGGAAGTTTGCTAATGAGTTTTGTGTTTTTTGAAGTCTGTGTTGCTTCCTGATGGAACACCGGATGTGCACAGCTTGTGGTGGGCAAAAACTTAGGGACATTATGTTGGATTCTAATATTGAATTGTATGGACCATATGTAAGTAAGGCCCCCCTCTCTCTTTTCACATTCTGCAACTACATTAACAAGTTTTGAAAGTGAAGAAAGGCTCAATTGTTTTATTTTGAAAGTGAAAAAAAAAATGATTAATTATACACACTGTTCCTATAATTTGCCTCTTGTGTCCATTTTGTCTTTGTAGTTCATTATATCAATTTTGCTTGTCAATTTATTCAAAGTGATACACTGAAAGTGCAGTATTTGAGCTAATGAATAGCTGAAATATGGTTTATGTGTTTTGAATTTTCAGTCCAAACCTCTGCTGAATTGTGGGAGAGGAGGAACTTGTGGGACATGCATTGTAGAGGTGAGTTATTGATTTCGAATTTATTATTACTAACCAAGCAGAGTCCTAATCATAATTCTTAAAAAAAATAGCACAAAAAAGTAAATGTGTTGCCAAGTAAGATGAATTTGAAACACACATTGATTTTTCTGCGCACGTTTCTATAAAGTTGTGCATGTGGCATTATTACTTATAAAAATGATGTTATTATCACTGGCATCATTTGGGTATAGCTTCATAATTGTTGGTGCAATCTCACGTGGAAGGTTAAGAAATGTGACAATGCATCACTTGTGTTGTGATGGTTTTTTATTTTTTATATTCTAAAGATTTTTTCTTTTTTTGTCTTTGTTAGGTCGTTGAAGGGAAGGAGCTACTAAACCCTCGAACAGACAAAGAGAAGGAAAAACTTAAAAGGGTATTTAACAGATCATTTGCAGTCATCTAAATATACCACTAAAAATATATAAATTAAAAAAAAAAACCTTTAATTCTACGAGTCTGTGATGTTTGTGTTAGTTTACTTGGTTCGGCAAAAAACGTGTCTAATGTTTGTGCTAATTGTACACAACTAATTGCAGAATCCAAAAAATTGGAGGCTTGCTTGTCAGACTACGGTTGGAAAACCAGATTCGAGAGGCTTGGTTTGTAGTCCATCGTCTTCCATTTTTAATGAATTATTTGATTTTAAGACTTTAGTCTAAAGTGTATCTTATTTATTTTCTAAGCAAAAAAGATTTTCAAAATTTCACCGGATATTATTATAATTATTTTTATTTTATTTTAAATATAATTGTTGTTTTTGTTCTGCAGGTTGTAATCCAACAACTGCCTGAATGGAAAGGGCATGAATGGAATTATAATAAAGAACCTCCTTCAGAATCAGAACCCTGAGATTCATTCATTCATTCATTTAATTAATGTACTTTCTTTTGTTTTACTAACTATATACTTAAATTTATGTAAATCTTCCTTTTAAAGAAAATGCACACTAACTAAATCTTTGTTTTCTTTTGCATCGGTTATTCTGTCATCGCAAATAGTATTTACAGTAGCTTAAAAGTGGACAAACAAAAAATGTTTTTTTGGGCAGTTCTCTTGTCGCCAAAGTTCTTCAATATTTCATTATTTCTCATCAATTTTAAGGTATTTTGATAATGTATATATAGGGACAGGAATCTGAATTTCATCATTAGAAAGGCAAAAAAAAAAAAAAAATTATTATACCATATACACAAGCACATATATCTATCTAATATGATATATAAATTATTTTTTATTTTATTTTCACAAGCACATATATTTATCTAATATGATATATAAATTATTTTTTATTTTATTTTATTATTATTTTTTTGAGACGGCAGCCTACTCTGGGTTTTTGCGACGGCAGTAATGCTGTCGCAAAAGATAGGGCATTTGGTTGAAAATGATGATTTTTAGCGACGGTGTAATTTGCCGTCGCCAATAGTACTTTAGCGCCAGCAACAAGTGTTGTCTCAAATAACCCTTTAGCAACGATATTTGTGCCGTCGCAAATACCCCTTTTAGCGACGGCAAAACAGTGCCATCTCAAAAAAAGTCAGATTTTCACGCGTTAATGGCGACGGCATTTTTCTGTCGCAAAAACGCTTTTTTGCCGTCGCAAACCAAAGGCGACGGCGTCATACTGTCGCTAAAGCCCTTTTGCAACCCCCTCTATTGCGACCCCTAACATGCTGTCGCAAAAAAATCTTTTGAGACGGCGTTTTGGGTATTTGCGACGGCATTTTACCGTCGCAAAAAATCAATTTTTTTGTAGTGCTTGCATCATTCTTGCCAAGAAACACTTCAAATCAATCAAATGAAGTAAATGAATAAGAAAAGATATAGAAATGATTTGAATTATATATATATATATATATATTAAATTAAAGTATTCAAAAGATGCACAATAAATTTAGTTATTTTTAAATCGGTACAATCTATATCAAAATGACAAATTTTATTTTCATATTTTGCGTCAAATGATTGTAAAAAAATATAAATTAAAAAATCACAATTTATCTCATAATATTTTAAACATCATCAAAATCAAATCATAGAATTAACATAAACATTTTTGTTTATCCACATTGAAAAAGATGACAATTATAAAAATAATTTATTTATTAAAGTGAGGTATTTTAAATCGTGCTTGATGCTCTTTCATATTATTAAAAGTATCAATGCTACAATCAATTTTAAAATCTTGCATAATGTCTTCCTCAATGAATATGATTAAATAACTATTTAATATCTTATTTTATTATTTGGAAATAGGATTTGTCATCAAAGGTGGTTATAAAATTAAAAAAAAAAAATTAATTTTAAGGAGATTTACGTGTAGGTCCTAATAGATGGACTTATTATCCAATAAGTTCTATGATAATTAATGATATTTTTCATCAAACACTACTAAAAAACGTTACTAATTGTTGATTTTCAATGACAATTTAAAAATTTTATCACAAAAATGTTACTAATTATAAGTTTTAGAGACAGTTTAAAAAAATTATCAAAAAAAAGTCACTAATTTTCAACTTTCAGTGACAATTTAAAAAATTCATCACAGAAAAACGTCACTAATTGTAAGTATTAGCGACAATTTATAAAAATTGTGACAAAAATGTCATTAATTGTCAATTTTTAGCGACATATGTAAAAAATGGTCACAAAAATTTATTGTTAGCGACAATTTTATTAAGACATTTCTTCAATAGAACTTGATGAGAATTAAATCTAACTATTATAGCCTATTGGTAGTTTACCCTAATTTTATTATATTTTGTTATACTTTGATCCAATGTTTTATTGATATAGAGGAGCAACCACTTAAATTTTTAAAAATAGAGGATGACCACTTAAAATTTGAAAAAAAGAATACTTGGAGAAGACGAACTCCTATAAGGAAAATGTTTAGGAATTCTAGAGGAAGAGCTCTAGAGAGAGCTCTAATGGTGGGTTTCACCATGTGATGTGATATTTTGACTCGTATTTTTTTTTTTTTTCCTCTTTTGCTTTGCCATATCACTAGAGATCATATTAGAGCTCTAGTTAAGAGTTCTTAATCACTTCCCCTTTTATAATTTGAAGATAATTATAATTAATAGTACTATAATAATGGAGGTTTTTGAAATCGTAAGGGAGGTGATTGCCCCCTCTTCCTCCCCTCTTGGTCCATCATTGATATCATGTCATTATTTTGTTGTGGCGAGTCAAATTATTAAAATTTTAAGAAAAATGGTAGGTATTGTTTTAAATTAAATTAATAACAAATTGAAATGTTCCTAAAACTTCTCGTGGGCTAATAATTGTTTTGAATTAATAATAATTTGTTCTTATTAGTAGGACACATGTTGATGTGAAATAACAGGTCCATCATCCATGGAATAACTTCATGTGAGTTCGGTTTTCAAGTTCGAAAATGAAGACCAGGTAATTTGTCTTTTAACAATAAAATTTGACTCCTTTTTTTCATGACTAAATTATTATTATTTTTTATAAATTTTACTTAACAACAAATAGTTTAGATTGAAAAAATAAAAAATTAAAGTTTAAATAAATAAAATTAAAAACTCAAAATTATTTTGTTACACGATTCAAACCTTAAAGTTCTTGTATCTTTTTCTTATAATTATTATAAGAAACATTATATTATTTTTTAAGTATATTTAACATTTGATAATCATAAACAAATATATGTATATATATATATACATATGGTGGGCAATGTTTATGGTGATAAATCCAAAACAAACACAGAAACACATCGGCCAATACAAAAAATTGCCTGGTGGAATTGATAATTACTAAATACAATAAAATATTGTACTGGGAACTTTTTGAAACAATTTATGTATGTTATCCTAATTTGATCACCATAGTATTTAATAATCAACTTATTCAGGTATACAAAGCTGTTGCAGATGAAGAAGAAGCTGCAAAGGATGAGATTAACTTTAAGGAACCTGTGTTGCAACTCTAGTTTGAAATAGGAGCAGAGTATGTTGCCACTGACATTTTTGCTGGGAGAATGGGCAATGGAACTTCAAAATTAAGCACATTAATTGCTTGCCTAATTGAAGGTCGGAGATCGTGATCTGGGTGAGCACACCAAAGCCCAACAATCATCAAGCATTCTATTTCTTCTTGAACAAAATTTGGGCATCTCTTCGGATCCACTGCCACTTCAATAAGCCTATTGGAACCATAAAGGTCCCAAACCCATTCCACTAATATCATTTGACTTTCTAGGACCATGAAATCAATGGGCTTTCTTCCACAAGCTATCTCCAATGCCACAACTCCAAAACTGTAAACATCCAATTCTTTACTGGCTTTGCCTGTCCTCAAATATTTAGGTGCCATGTAGCCCCTAGTTCCTGCCAAAACTGTTGTTTTCGAATCTTTTCCGTGGTTGACAAGCCTAGCTAATCCGAAATCCCCAAGTTTGGCATTGAAATTTGAATCTAACATGACGTTACTTGATTTTACATCCCTGTGCAACACACACTACTCTCATTCTTCATGTAGATAAAGCAGTGCCGAGGCCAAGCCTTGAGCAATTTTGTATCTCATTACCCATGTCAACAAGCTTTTTTCTTTGAAGAGATGTTAATCTAAGCTTCCATTTTCCATGAAGTCATAAACAAGTAGGAGTTCTCTTTTCTCATGACACCAACCAATTAGTTGCACCAAATTTCTATGCCTCGATTGACTAATGATCTTCACTTCTGATGTGTACTCCTTTATTCCTTGTTTTGATCCCTTTGATATCCTCTTCACAGCAATACAGGAGTCAGATTCCTTCAAGAAACCTCTATAAACCTCACCAAATCCTCCCTCTTCAAGCTTCTGTTCCTTGTCAAATTTATTTGTAGCACGAAGCAATTTACTATACGAAAATTTCTTTGGCCCGGTACCTGCCTCAAAGTCATTTTCCACAGATAGTTCAATGGCAAACTCATCTTCTTCTTTTGCTCTACTACTTTTCTTCCACAAAACAAAGCCAAGCGGGGTCAATACACAAATCAAAACAGATGAGCCGACAATCAATCCCACCATTGGTGCCTTTTTGCTGCCTTTTCTCGAGATTTGCAGACTCGAATTGAATTGCCATGATTTGATAGTATTTTTCTCAAAAAGTCTTCCTGTTGCAACTGAGAAGCCAATTGTAACCCATTCTGGTAAATACAAGCTCAAATCAACTTGCAAACTAAGGACACTATCAATTCTAGTATTATTTCTAGAACCAGTGCTCAAATTTTTGGAACTAGAATTATAACTAATCCAAGCTTCATTTTCTATACCAAATGTAATGTTATTGTACCAAACTTCAGTAGCATTAGAAATCAGAGAGTTGATATCGATACCTACATGAGTTTCATTGAGCACATCGAACTCTGGATTATGAAAAGTATCAAACTCCACAGCAACAAAATGATTGGTCGCATTTGATGACTGGGTTACGTTTGGAAGGCCAAGAGAACCACCTACTGTCATATTGGGAGTGGAACCATAAGGAACAAGGAAGAATGTGAGCCCATCTGCGAAGAACGAATTTCCTTCTGAATCAATGACGAACATGAAATAGGTGTTGAAGTCCGTCATTTTTTCAGGAGCTTTGTCCCATAGGTGAAGAGGATCTTTATATATGGCTCGACCAGCTTTGTCCACTCGGTCTGCACCTCGCTCATTTGGGGTGACTTGGATGCCTTCAAGGTTGATATAAGCATCTCCCTGCCAAATTATCTCTCCATTTACATGTTGACCAATATTAGTCAGGTTAAAGCTCAGTGCAGTTGCATGAAGAGGGTAGTAAAGGGTGAAGAAGAAGAAGAAGAAGAAGAAGAAGAGAGAACAAAGAAGAATTCTACTTGATAAGACTAATGTGTTCCAAGACTTGTACGCATCCATAGCCATGGTTGGTATTGTTATGAGGAAAATAAATTCTTGAAGAAACTTAAGCCTGTGATTTGCTTAATCAGTCTTTGTGTACATTAATTGTATGTGACTTTTTTTTTATTTTTTATTTTTTATTTTTTATTTTTAAACTTTATTTGGCAAACTTTGTTTGGCTGACATTTTCTATGTCATAAGAAATTTTGTTTGCACTGATCTGTATTTTAAACAGAGAAAACTATGATGCACGTTGTGGATCGGCAAAGAAGAATTTTCTAATGCCTTTCATACTATGGTGGCAACCCCAAAGCATCACCCCCAAACAACAAAGACACAGGCAACCGGCTGAGAATTGTTGAGAATAAAGATTATGTGATTATGAAAATTAACGATAATTATAATATTCAATTACAGAATTAATTTAACATTTTGTTCATGGAAATTACTTAACTCTGAACTAAAAGCAAATGTTATATTTGACAGGTACTGGCCAGTTGTGGATTATTTTCTATCTGACTTGGTCTAGATTCCAGATCCAATATAAGCAAATAAGTGAAAATTATTGGAGCTGGACTCCATCATGTACAGGACGGTGCTATCTAAACTCGTGGGATCCGTTATGAGTTCCGTTTTAATCATTCAAACCGTTCATTTTGTCGATCTTTTGTATATCATCCTCACAAAAAAAATAGATTGATACAATAATTGTAAACTATTTAATTTATTCCATTTGTCTCCAAAAAATTAACGATAACTGTGTTATAAAAAATAGACCATTTATTAATTTTGGTGACAAATGTAATAAATTAATAAGCTACGATTATTGTCTCTTACGACAGAATGCGAAAGCTGGATGAGGAATGCCAGTTAGGAACATCACAATACAATTGTCCCAATCTTTGGGAGATAAAGTTAGAGAAACATGTTGAATTGGTTAGGCCATTGATATCCCAAGGTGGAATATACCAAGTATTAGTTGTTTTAACAAGATCCCAAAGATAGTAATTGGACGGTGCAGGCCTTTAGTAACAACCACAGCATCGGAGCACCCTACAAAATGGACCCAATTAAAATCTTCACAGTCGTTGTCCCGGATGGAATGAGAGTGACCGCACCATGACAATCTTCGCAGTTGTTGTCCCGGATGGAATGAGAGTGACCACACCATGAAGCCGTGTGTCATTCCACATCTAATTATCACCCAATTGGGTGATGTACCTTACCGCAAGGAGAGGTACAATCTGAAAAGATGAAATTCAAATTCGAAAACTAAACATGAAGCATTGTGACCATTGCATTTTGCATTTTAAGTTTTCATACGCTACTTTTTGCTTTTTATTGATGTTTTTGTTGTACTGCTTTTACTATTTTGATCATCACTGAAATTTCTTTTTTGCCGATAAAAAAAAAGTTGCACTGAACAGTCGATATGTTGATAACTTTTCAACATCTAAACAATTAGATGAGGAGTCATGCAAGAATCGATACACAATGAAAATGGCATTGTACTATGCGTAATTGTTAGACTATTGTAAGTCTCATTATTCTTGACAAAAGCAAGTTATTTTTGTTAGTCTACATAATTGAAAATTTTCTAATTAATTTTGTACTTCAGAATGTTCTGTAGTTATGCAAAGAATACTCAAAAAGAAACAGTTTGATTACAGTTATTCTATCTAAAGATATGTACAGAATATTTAAAAAAAGAAACAGCTTGAATTACAACATCACTGAAATACAGCTTGATTAACATTCTTTCTAATAATTCTAGATACACAATTAAAAAATATTAATTAAAAAAAAAAAAGAGAGCGAGATAACTTGAAACAAATGAATCTTAAAACATTTCAACCAAATGCGTGGTGGAATTGATAATTACTAAATATAATAATATATTGTACTCAAAACTTTTTGAATCAATTCATATATGGTATCCTAATTTGATCACCATAGTCATTACCAATCAACTTATTCAGGTATACAAAGCTCTTGCAGATGGAGAAGAAGCTACAAAGGATGATGTGAACTTTGAGGAACCTATGTTGCTTGAAGGTCAGACTTGGCTGCTAACAGCCACTAACAGAAACAGAAGTACAGCCATAAAATAAACCGAAGATAAATCATTCACTGAAGGAGCAGAGTATGTTGCAACAGGCATTTTTGCTGGGAGAATCGACAATGGAGCTTCAAAATTAAGCACATTAACTACTTGCCTAATTGAAGGTCGGAGATTGTGATCTGGGTGAGCACACCAGAGCCCAACAATCATCAAGCATTCTATTTCTTCTTGAACAAAATTTGGCCATATCTTCGGATCCACTGCTGCTTTAATAAGCCTATTGGAACCATAAGGGTCCCAAACCCACACCACCAATATCATTAGACTTTCTGGGACCTTGAAGTCCATGGGCTTTCTTCCACAAGCTAATTCCAATGCCACAACTCCAAAACTGTAAACATCTAATTCTTTACTGGCTTTGCCTATACTCAGATATTTAGGTGCCATATAACCCATGGTCCCTACCAAAACTGTTGTTTGCAACCCCTTTATGTGGTCGACAAGCCTAGCTAATCCAAAATCCCCAAGTTTGGCATTGAAATTTGAATCTAACATGACATTGCTTGATTTTATATCCCTAGGCAACACACATTGTTCCCATTCTTTGCGTAGACAAAGCAATGTCGAGGCCAAGCCTTGAGCAATTTTGTACCTCATTGCCCATGTTAACAAGCTTTTTTCTTTGAAGAGATGGTAATCTAAGCTTCCGTTTTCCATGAAGCCATAAACAAGTAGGAGTTCTCTTTTCTCATGACACCAATCAATTAGTTGCACCAAATTTCTATGCCTTAACTAACTAATGATTTTCACTTTTGATGCATACTCTTTTGTTCCTTGTTTTTGATCTCTTTGATATCCTCTTCACAGCAACATAAGAGTTGGATTCCTTCAAGAAACCTCTATAAACCTCACCAAATCCTGCCTCTCCAAGTTTATGTTCCTTCGCGAAGTTATTTGTAGCACGAAACAATTCACCATATGAAAACTTCTTTGGCCCGCTACCTGCCTCAAAGTCATTGTCCATGAATACTTCAATAGCAAACTCATCTCCTTCTTTTGCCCTACTACTTTTCTTCCACAAGGCAAAGCCACACAAAGCCAACTCACAAACCAATACAGATGAGCTAACAATCAATCCCACCAGCAATGCCTTTTTGTTGTTTTTTTTAGAGATTTGCAAACTCGAATTGAATTGCCATGATTTAATAGTGTTTTTCTCATAATGTTTTCCTGTTGCAGCTGAGAAGCCAATTGTAACCCATTCTGGTAAGTACTCTCTCAAATCAACTTGCAAACCAAGGACAGTTTCAATTCTAGTATTATTCATAGAACCAGCGAAAACAACACTCAAATTTTTCGAACTAGAATTATAACTAATCCAAGTTTCATTTTCTATCCTAGATGGTATGTCATTGTACCATTAGATATGAGAGAGTTGATATCGATACCTACATGAGTTTCATTGAGCACGTCATACTGCAGATTATGATGAGTATCGAACTCTACAGCAACAAAATGATTGGTGGCATTTGATGACTAGGCTACGTTTGGAAGGCCAAGGGAACCACCTATTCTCATATTAGGTGCAAAACCATAAGGAACAAGGAAGAATGCTAGCCCATCTGCAAAAATCGAGTTTCCTTCTGAATCAATGACAAACAAGAAATAGGTATTGAAGTCCGCAAGTTTTCCAGAAGCTTGTTCCGTAGTTGAAGAGGGTCTTTATATGTAGCTCGACCGATTGTGTCCACTCGAGCTACACCTCGCTCGTTTGGGGTGACTTGGATGCCTTCAGGGGTGATATAAGCATCTCCTTCCCGAATTATCTCCCCATCTACATACCGGCCAATATCGGTGAGGTTGAAGCTCAAGGCAGTTGCATGAAGATGGAAGTAGTAAAGGCTGAAGAATAAGAAGAGAGAACAAAGAAGAATAGTACTTGATGGGGCTATTAATGGGTTCCCAGAGTTGCACACAGACATAGCCATGGTTGGTTTTGTTGTGAGGATCAAACCTAGTTCTTGAGGAAAATTAAGGGTGTGTTTGGTGTGTGTTTGTAGAGTAGTTTTTGAGATAAAAAGTACGAAAACTTATTTGGTTTGTCTTTTTTCATAAATGATTTTGGAAAATTATTTTGGGGAGAGAGTTTTAAAAAAAATGATTGATTTGATGTGTATGAGAGAGAGAGTGATTTTGGAAAATAGGTAACCAAACAAAATTTTGAGAATTTTTTTTAAAAAATTTGTTTGGTTTGATTACTCTTGAAAATTTGTTTGTAGAGAATTTTTTTCACAATTTTTTCTGAAAAACAAACCCAACAAGACCTAAATTTTTTGTGATTTTCTGATTGTGTACTGCTTAGTTTTCATCATGCCAGGTTTTCTTTCATCTCAAATGAACAGAAAACAGGGTATGTGACATTTTTATTTTATTTTTTTAAATTTGTTTGGCATTTTTTATTTTTAAATTTGTTTGGCTTCTAGTTCTAGACGAACTGACATTTTCTGTCATATGTGATTAAGATTTTTTATTTTTTTTATTTTAGAACTGTTCATAAACTTTTTCTTGGGTAATGCTATGGTGTATGCCAAATTATTACAAATGTCATCTTCATAACTGTAAAAAAAAAATTATAACCAAACATCAGTTACATTCATCTGTTCCTCATCACCCCCAAAAAACCCAACATAAGTTACATCTCCACCAACAATTTTGTTTAACCCCTAGTAATTAATTTCCATAAGATTAAACCAAAAATCAAACATCAAAACACTCAAATCAAATACATCTATATTCTGATTTTCAAAGACGTACTCAATGCAAATTATTGGAATAATAATATTAGAAAGCAAGTCTGGACCATGGAAGGTACTAACCAGGCATAGAATCTGCGGAAGAGAGGTTGGTGATGGTGGATTTTGTGAAGAAGGAAGGGGGTAGGGGTGAGATCCAATTTGGTGCCGACGATGCTCAGCATTGCCGTCCATGCGGCAACGATTTTGTTGAAGGAAGGCGGATAGTGGGATTTGGTTTGGTCATCAATTTGACTGCTTTTTTAAGGAGCAGCGCTGATCGGTAACGGAATGGGAGACGACACTGACGGAAGAGGGGGCGCAGTGTGAGTAATTGTGTTTGGGATTGGATTATGTTAGGTAGGGGTGGGCGCGGGTCGGTTGCGGCCACGAAACCTTCAATCCGCCATCCGTCCGCCAGATTGGCGGATTGAAGAAAATCAATCCGCATCCGTCCGCCAATCCGGCGGATGTGGATTGAGCGGATTGGCGGTTTGGCGGATGGATGCGAATCGGTTTGGCGGTTTAAAATTTTATAAATTTTCAACATAATTCAACTTGTTGCACTTCCTTAAAAAAAAGAAAAAAAAAATATTACAGTCAAATGACTTAAAAAGTATTACAATCACTGTATGCTTATCCAAAGAAAGAAAGTTTGAAACTTTAGAATATCACGATCACTGTATGCTTCATCCACATATTACAATTACAGCATGATTCATCCCTATAAAGTATTACATCTGTGATTTCTTAAAATATAATAACATTCAAACCACAAAACCATAAACGAGAGCAGTAGTAGAGATTGAAATGTCTCTATAGTTGTTACATCTACATATGTTTTGAAAACAAAACCAACACCAGCATATATCATATTTTTTATTTATAATTTTTAGAGTAGATTTAAAAACTAAAAATATATAGATGAATAATATGTTTATTTTTTCAATTCAAAATATATTCAAGTTGAAAACTTTTTTTCAACAAAATATTTAAACTCTTTTTCAATTGAAACACAAACGAAATATTTAAAACAAATTTGGAAATACAAAGTCTTATAAATTACTACAGGTGCTCGCGATTTGGCGGTTTGGCGTTCGGTTGCGCCAAAAAATCTCAAATCCGCATCCGTCCGCCAAATTGGGGATTGGAGAAAATCAATTCCGCAACGTCCGCCATCAATCACGCATCCGTCCAAAAATGTGGCGGATTCGGTTTCGGTTCGGTGATCGTGTTTTGGCGGATCGGTATATCCGCTGCTCACCCCTAATGTTAGGTACGGGTGGTATCACTTGTAACTATAATATAATATATTTATAATGAGATTTGGGTTATTTAAGTTGAATTGAATCTTAATAATTTATCAAAGTGTCTTTTAAAGATTGTCAATCGGGTGAGGGTCATCGAGGTTTATTTAAGTGTTATGGATTATTAGCAAGTGGGTCATTTGTGTATGTGAAGGATTATTTCGCGTTCTTAGGGGTTAGGAATGGAATGCCTATGTTGGGGGGTTCAGGTGAGGTAACATTCTTGAACAGTGTTGGATTGAGTGGATTTAATTAATTGGTGGGTGAGAATCTGGTTATATGAATCGTGTTGAGGTGGATTAAGTGGTGGTATTAAGAGTGTGGTTTTGTGCTTTTTCTTTGAAAATTATCTATTAATGTGTATTAAGGTGAGGGTTAGTGTTGGTTTGTTATTTGAATTTATTTTAGGGCCAACTTTTTATTAGGTTAAAATTTAAAAGGGTGGATTAAAAAATTCTATGAGAATTAGATAAATTGGTATACAGACAATTAAAAAATAAAAACTGGACTACCGGGTCTCTTTTTATTGTGGTTTGGCACTTTAATGTTTAGTAAAAAATTAAAATTTGATGTTCTAAGCATAAGTTAGATGTTGAGTTTTTTATCTGTCAGGTTTTTAATAAAATTAATTAAATATTTGTTTCCCAAACAAGATCTTATTTTGTGTTTTTTAGGTGGGGAATTTTTTTGGATAAAAAGAGATAATTACAAGTTGAAAATATAGTGTTTAGAGCGAGGACAAACTAAAATTTCAAAATATTTCAGAGAAATTAAGGGGTTCAGGAAAGATATAATAATAATAATAATAACAATAATAATATAATAAGCTAAGAAAATGATTTTAAAAAATTTGCTGCGTATTTTGAGATCTTTTTTCAAAAAAAAAAAAATTTTGTTTTATTTTTTTAAAGTTTGTTTACAATATGAAAATTAAAAATAAGATGAGAAAATGGTTAAGGTTTAATATATTTAAATATGGTTAGGATTTGGACGTGGAACATAAAAATAAAAATAAATAATAAATGGAGATAGGTTGAGCGCATTCAGCCACATTATGAGTGGGGAGTGTATGGGTGATGGTGGTTCTATGGGAGGGATAGATAGTGGATTGATGCTTAATAATTGGCAGGAGGTTGTTGATTTGGGATGTATGGTTGTTGGGTCAAGGAATGATGGTGTGTCAGGTTTGCCTTTTTGACTATTTTAGGCTCACAAAAAACAAAATAGAGGGCATTTTAGTCGGTAGACATGAGACTGAGAAAACCATCACATCCAATGGTGGTGGCACACGCTAACATAAGTCATTACATTCTTCTCTCACAAAAAAACTCAAAAAAGTCAAAAAGCCAAAAAGTCCTTCCCAAACCAAGCTTTTAAGCCCAGGCTAAAATAACCAAAAAACCAAAAAGCCAACCCACTTCCCAAACGGAGGCTTGGTGTGGTCAATTTTAATGATAAATTTTTCAAGAGTGAGGTAGATAGCGCCATATGCGCTATGTGCTATCAGATATTTCTCCCTGTTAAACAAGATACTGTACATGGATGGATTGTCTGAATTGTCTCTTCACTATCGTATGTCCGTGCCTTTAAGCCCAATATAAATAATGTTAAGATTAGAATATAATTGTAATTTTAATATTATTTAAATTTATTTTTTAATTTGATAAAATCACAAATTTATTATAAAATTTTAGAATTTTCACAAAACTTCCCACGAAAACTCGCTTCTACTTATATAATATATAGCCAGATAGATAGATGTGTTTGGCATAAATACAATTTTCACGGGCATACATACAATGTTACTTTTGCTTATATGATTATATGGAAATTGTAGGTATGCCCATAATGTCCTAATGTATTACGGACATACATTCATTGTATGGAAATATATGTAAAATATATTGAACAAAAAAGATAAAAATAAACAAATAGAGAGAAAAATAAAAACAGGAAAAAATAAAAAAAATAAAAAGAAAAGAGAGAGGAAGGTGGGATCATGAGATCATGGAAGGATGGGTGAGAAAAGAAAAAAGTAAGAGAGAGAAGCGGGAAAATAGAAAATGTACATGTAAGATATTTTTTAAAAAATATATCTCAGCCGTTGTTTTATAATTTGAATAAATCTAAACCGTCCAAATGTCATAGTAGGATAAACGTGTGTAAGACAAATTTAAAATCATCCTACTTTATTATATAGATTTAAAAATGTAAAGATTGATACGAAAGAATTAAAAATATGGGGTTTAATTTAGGCCCCATTTGGAATATTAGTTTGGGCTAAAATAATTATATAAGATAAAATAAGTTATTTTGGTCAAATAGGACAAAATATCAATCCAATCTATAATCATATTTTTTCTCTCACAAAAATCAAAAAATTTATCCCAAACAATACTTTTAACCCGACAAAAATATTTAAAAAGTCAAAAAATTAAAAACTCAACCCGCATTCCAAACGTATCGTTATTATCAGGATTAAACTTCTGAGAATTTTTATTTTTTTTTAATGTGATTTTCCCTAAAACAAATTTGCACCTTCATATTGAAATCAGGTTGCAGGTTGCGATGTGTCGTTTTTTTTAAATCTAGTAATCATATATAAATACAAAATATTTAAAAAATGTATAATTATTTGCTTATTAATTTTTTTAAGGTTTTAATTTGATTCTTTCTTCTAATTTAGAAGTTAAAATTTAATAATTTTTTGATACTTGTCAATTTTTAAGGTGAAGATGCAAACAATAACAAAAATTTAGATTGAACAACCAAATTAAAACTAAACTAAATTATAAGAATTAAAGTAAAATTTAGATCAAATTACATACTTGCAACCATGATTTTCATGAATTTTGTCATCATTCACAACATAATCACTACTTGTTTAAAAATTAAGCAATATAATACAGGGAGATATTTAAGTGTGTAACCCTCTTAAGGTTGCACACCATATGCAACCCAATTTTTAGCCGTTAGATTATAATAATTAATAAAGACTATTGAATTGTTTAATTGTAAAAAATGTGAAACTAGGGCAACCGGTTAATCCTCCTATTTGCATGATTGTATCCCATTTTCCTCTCTCTCTCTCTCTCTCTCTCTCTCTCTGTCTTCATCTCTGTAAAATTGAGTATGTAATCCTTAATTTCCATTAACAACGACAAGCCCCTACTAGGTTCCATTGACGAAGCTCTGTAAGGAACAGTGTAACTCTTGATTTCCAGCAACAACGAAACTACAAGGCTATGTGGGGTTCCATTGCTGAAGTGAAGGCGTTCTCTCCAACTAGATATCAGGTATGGAGCTATCTCTCTCTCTCTCTCTCTCTCTCTCTCTCTCTCTCTGACCTCTTCACTTCAGCAATTTTCCCTCAACTAAACCTTTATCCTAACTTCAACCCCTCTACGCTTCGCTCAAACCGAAACCCCTCCATCGCCAAGTAACCTCTTTCTTTCTCTCCAACTAGATATCAGGTATGGAGCTATCTCTCCCTCTCTCTCTCTCTCTCTCTCTCTCAAACCTTTCACTTCAGCAATTTTCCCTCAACTAAACCCTTATACTAACTTCAACCCCTCTACGCTTCGCTCAAACCGAAACCCCTCCATCACCAAGTAACCTCTTTCTTTCTCAATCGAGTGTTTGTGTTTGCACAAACAATCCAACCGTATTAAAATGTCATGTTTGTGTTTGTGTTAACATTTTTCAGTCATCAAGTAATTGTTTGTACTAATATCATGTACAGTATGGCCCTAGGCAAAGTTAAAAGTAAAGGTGTTGATTATAACATTCCAAATAAAGCAGATGACATTCATTTGATCAATGAAAGTCGAGCAAAACGTTGTTATGGTTGTGAAGCTAGTCTGTGCAATGAAGAACCAACCAACATAAACGTTGAAGATGGCCAAGCCGATATGAAACAACAAATGGTTGACGATGCTCATGGCGATGACATTGTTGGTGAGGTTGAACGTGCTGTTCTGGAATAGAAATTTGATTCAGTCGAAGATAGAGAAACTTTCTACAATGCGTATGCTAAAGCCAAGGGATTTAGTGTACGAAAATCTAGATTTAACATAAATGAACAGGGAAAGGTTGTTAGTAGGCTATGGTTATGTTCAAGGGAAGGTTAGAGATTACCAAAATACTTGGACCGTGTTGCAGAGAAGAGAAAAACTCTCAAGGCACTAACAAGAGTAGGTTACCAAGCACAATTTTGCATACGGTACGATCCAGAGGATGGTGAAGGGGGAAAGTATGTTGTGACTCACTTCATCGCAGACCACAACCATGAATTGGCGGAACAACACTGTGTGATGCATCTGAGGTCACATCGGGGTTTAAACAGCGCTGACAAAGCTCAAGTAATGGCCATGCGCAACGTCAGTGTGAAGACTAGCCAAATCATGGACTATATGGTAAATCAATTCGGGTGTTATGAGAATGTTGGTTTCATCCGTACAGATCTGCACAACCACATTCAAGCCGAACGTAGAGCAGAAGTTGAGGATGGTGATGCGCAGGGTACTTTGGTTTACCTATGTGCAAAACTTGATGTTGACCCATGTTTTTTTTACAAGTATGATGTGCGTAAGGATAACAAGTTACAAAATCTGTTATGGACAGATTCGAAATCACGGGCTGACTATGCAAAGTTTGGTGATGTGTTGATATTTGACTCAACTTAACGTACCAATGCGTACAAGAAACCTTTTGTCATGTTGGTTGGTGTGACTAACCACTTCATGACCACGATATTTGTATGTGTTTTGCTATGGGTGCAACTTGGGCGGATTCGGTCAGGTTGGGAGGTTATCCATGCCTAGCCCAAGTTGTGCTGAGACCTGCCCAGGCCCGCTCAGGCCCGACCCAAGTTAAACCCCGAATTGCCCGAATTGTAAATGAATTTCAGTTTTTTTTTTTTGGGTGCAGTTGCTTTATTAAATTATTAAATATTGACTCTATTTATATTTTTTTTATATAAAAAATCATTAATACCATTAAAACACATAATTTATATAATATAAGAGAGATGCCGCTATAATAGTTCTTACAATTTAGGAGTGAAAATAAAAATATAAATAAAAAAAAGTATGATTTTATATTATTTGCATATATAATATATATTCAATATGGTTTAATAATCTAAATTACTTTAATATCATGTAATGACTAATAATTTATATGTATATTTAATATTTTTATATATATCGTAATATATTATATTCGGTTTCGGTTGCTCGGTTGTCGATCATCTTTGCCAAGCCCGCCAAACTTATATTTGGCCT